ATGTTATCTTAGGAATTTCTTGAATGAGGTTCAAATTTTTCAATAAAAAAGAAGTAAGAACAGGAAAAAAGGTTTATAGTTCTTCCCGAGGCAATATCGTGGTGTGCTTTGAACACTACTTATCACAACCCATTCTATACCTAATATTTGTTTTTGCTAGAGATTCAGGAGGATCCCAATAAGTTGATGGCTTTACGAACGAGTAAAGGTAAAAATATTGGCATTTTCACAGCTAACCGTTAATTCCTCTCGTCACGGTGAACAGATAAAGTTAATGATGCATTTTCATTGTTACTTGTTTATTTCTCTCCTTCATGGTTGACAGAAATGTTTTAAATTTATTTCAATTACCGGCTGAGGCCGTCATTAGATTTCGCTAATAATCTTGCTTTTCTTGTAAGCAAATAAAATCACGAAGCACCAAGAAATACCCAGTGAAATGATTCACGCCTTGTCGTTTTCTTGAATGGAAAGCAGCCTTGTAGACAATGCGTTCTTTGAAAGGGCTCTAGTCTTCAGTGGACATATTTTTCTTCTGCGCGAGCACAAAATGTCAAGACATATAATTTGAAGATAACTTTAAAAAGAAGAGCACCAAGAAAGAAACTTATGGTTAAAGGAAGTACTCATATTCGCCAGGGAGTTGTGGTAAGGGAGAGTTTTTATTAACTTAAATGGATCCGTCGTTTCAACGCATACGAACACCCTAAACTGTTGCTATTCCTAAATTAGAAACATAATTTTTTGTTAGTATCCCTTAGTCGCTTAGTTTTACACTGATCAGCCCTAGAGATCCATGTTGCATACCCTAGTTCTGAACTAGTAGCTGTTTTTAATGAAGAGCCGCAAAACTCGACTCTTTTTCCTTTCCTCCCCATAAATTTTCTATTAAAATACAGTTGCACATACAGATCAACTTCACGTAACACACTGAACACGCTCTATTTTGAAACAAACTGCTGCGTGTTTGCTTTAAGACCTGAACTCATGATGAAAAAATGATCCCGTATGAGAGAACTCACGCAAGTAGATTTCAAATCCATTTTCTGGAAATCGCGCGCAAAGCTTTATAATTAATTGTGGTAACTAAGTTGTACCTCTATTTCCATGACCCCATTATCTTTTTTTAACACCCAGCCTTTCAATACTAAAAAGAGTATTGGTCGAAGAAAAGTCGGACGGATGAGCGTTGTAATACAACTTGCCCAATATACAATACAAATTTTTAGCCAAACGGCCTATTGGAACTATTCCAGAGATACCTTGATTAACTATACATGCAGTAGTATGCGAAGATCACGTGAATAAATAGTGCTAGCGTTATTTGCCAACCTGCTTAAAAAAAAAAACGCTTATTCCGCTGAATGTTTTTCCAATATGAATCTGATCGGCGCTTTAATATCACGTGAAACAATAAAAAAAAGGTTATTCGCAGACCTACGAGGCGCAGCAATAGAAAAGAATCTCGTTAAAATAAATTAGGGGGTATCCAAGTTTTATTACATGTAGGTAAAGGATAATAATGCAAACATGAACGATGACAGCTGTCATCCAATGGAGTGCATATTTTGTGGGAGCTTTGCTTTTATTAGCTCGAGTCGATAAAAAATCGATAGAAAAATGTTCAAATTATGTTGAGTACAACTATTAGTCAGGAACGTTACTTTCTTTTAGCTGCTCCGCATAGTATGCGTTTATTTTTTCAGGATAGGATTTCTGGACAAATTGAGGGCAAACTGAGAAATTTGAAGAACTTTGCATGAAATTTGCGAAAACCTTTAGTTTTTCTATTTGTAGTACTCTTTACGTTTGCTTTTCCGGTTATCAGGTCAGAAATTTTGTTCAAGGGCTCATGTCGAGGACTCTAAAATCTTTCTAAAAATACGAAACAGTGCTTCTAAAAAACTAAGTGGAGCTTTACTAATTGCTGTTCCACGTGATCAACCAGCTTCAATCGATTATAGATGAATATCATTAATAACCTTGAACCCCTTACATTACAATGAGCCTATTCAGCCTATGATTTCATTATTCAAAAATTTGCACGGAATTTACAATGGTCTAAATGCACAAGTAGACAACATGATGTTTCCCATTTATAAGTCATCTATGTTTTATTTTACAATTCAAAAAGTTGTTTGTTAAAGAAAAACAATTTGAAATTTTTTGGCAAATTTTTTGACGTCAGTCTGCCAAATTCTTGCAATATCAGGCACTCTCTTTAATGAATTACACACAAGGTTAATTATCAATATGAAATTTTGATTATTTTCATGTCTCCCTCCATCAAAGCCAGTAGTAGGAATGACGTATTTTTAGGAAGATTTGTTGCGTATTCGCTCTCCACTGTCTTTGCAAGAAAAGCAATGGCGAGAAACCTGATTAAAAAAACATAATAATCATTTTCTTCCTTAGTATACCTTTCTCCACCGAGCGCAGAGAGATTTCATTAGCCAAGTGCGAGTGCGAGTACGTATTAGTACGAGAAACAAAATTCTGCATCCAAAGCTACATTCTTTTTTTAACTCAAAAGTGATATGTGCTAGGGTTTTTATCAGGGTATCTATCTAGAACCCGTTATTCCTTGACTGAGTTTAGCTTTTAGGTGTGAATCATTACTTGGTAACCATTTGCTTTGGAGTGAGAGGTTTCTGTCGAATTTTCTTAAACAAAACGTTTTTTATCAAAAAGGGGCTGTAACACAAAAAGAATCAAATAAATGTCTTTCTTTTGGAGTGTACTGATGATTTAGCTATACATGCAGATACCACGATTCACTTTCATGGGTTAATCGAATCCAAACGAGATGTCACTGGTACCTATTAACTGCTACAGTATTGATTAATTGCTCTTGACTTAGCACTAAATGATGTCTGTGCCAGAAGTGAGCCATCTAGTCAGTTCTTAGCCCCTTATATCTAAGCTAAGAGGTAGTTCAAAGGTTTCCTAACTTGTATTAATCACTGAGAAATTTTCCCTAAATTTTAATTTCTTGGCCCTGGAATTCGCGAGAGTTTAGAGAACAAAAATCGCATCAACAATAATTGCATAACAACAAAAACAACAACAGAGGGAAACAGCATCGACAAAAACAACTAATTTTTTGTAATCTAGGGCGTAAAACGAAAGTCTTTTTCTTGTATTTCGAACCCAAACCATTACGTTACCAAAACGACTGGGATACAGGCTAGTGAGAAAATTTGGCAAGGAAAAGGTTTTGCTTATATTATTCCCATAAACAAAAATTAATACATCTGAAGTTCAGAATATGACCAAGGATTGTTAGGTCAATAAGAGTTAAAAAGGAATTCGTCCGCCTTGAAGAAAAAGCCTTTCATCGCTATTCCTGACTTCAAAAAGCGTCTCCCTATATCGCGTTACTCATGGAGATGGTCTTACAAATTACCAAGGGTCCAGTTCCGCGGTTTGGCGAAATTACAAGGATTAACTTAATAGCACCGACTTCTGTGGTTGTTTGAGAACTATAATATCGTTTCAGCGGATGCTAATTAAAATTGCTAGATGCTTAAAACAAGGAAAATATTAAGGACATTAGTCACTCTTAATTGTACAATTTATTCTGACTTTGTATTTCCAAATTGGTAGGACACACAATACCTATCTATTTAAGTACTCCAACCAGCAACCTATTCTCAGAGAGAAGACTGGCATTATATAGAAAACGACGGCCTTAATCGTTTTTCCTTCAGAAAAAAATATGCAAGATATCAAGGCAAGCCGCTTAATTTTTCGAAGGCAACATCGATGCATGGCATCGGAATGCGTCCTAGTGGCGCCTTTGGTTCCTTCAAGATTATCTATATACCGATAAAATTCCAGAATTTTGGAACGAAGGAACGATATCTATTGCGAACGAAAAATGCGATTCGTGGTTAAAAGTTGAAGAGGCTGTAAAACTACAGCGAGCTTTTCCTTCGAACTGATCCTTTCTCTTATTAGCGTTTTCTTTAACTATGGGATAGTGAAAAGTTCATACGTGTCCGGTACGGTTCCCTTCTGAGGAATCTTCAAGTTTACGATATACAACAACAACCTGAAAACAAATAAAGAATGAAAACATAAGTAACCATTGGGCGGCCTTTGTTTTTGTGGCATTTTCGTTTGCTTTGTTAGGAATTTCCCATGTTTGATTCAGTGAAACTTCTTTCGAAATAGTGTAGCTTATGAGAGAGAACGAGTATTCAGTCATTTCGCTGACAGGCACTGTTGGACACGGGAAGTCCACAAACTAGTTTGCGTTGTCTAGTGCCATCCAAAGATGATCATGAAAGGGAAATGCCGATGCCTAGGAGTTTCGATTTCTTTGTGTTTTGTTTGATGTTACTCGGTGCACCAAAATAACTCCAAAGCTTCTCATCTTCTAAAACCAGCCAAAAGATCTGTGCCATTAGCTATTGATACTGAAAACAAGTGAATTGCTTTAAATATTTATTCCAAGTTCTAGGTATCCTTAGAAACAAAGCATGTTTGCTCATTAACTATATCCTCTTCCTTTGGAACGTCCGCCTATAGAGGTGCTGTGTCAACAAGTCATTTCTTTGTTCAATTATGTCACGTACCTTAGTTTGTGCGGACAACTTTAAACAAAAAATATTTCATTCAAAAGCGAAACCCATCATGGATTCTACAATTAATTGATCAACTTTTTTTTGGAAACTGATCATGTATCGACGCAAAGTGAAAAAGGACATTTGATATCTCATTAGCAAAGATCCCATCCATAAACCTACCAATACTGATGGGAAATTACTTCTGCCCTGAGAAAAGAAAAGTACAAATTGATGATTTTAACTGATAGACAGTGAAATAAGAAAAGTTTCATTTTATCCCACTTAAATTCATAACACCGATTTTTGCTGTATATTTAGAGATAAGAGAATTCGAGTAATTCTAATTTTAGTCCGAATATTGAAGTTGAGGTAGCAATACAGACACGTACACGTGGGACTATAAATATATAAATGTACTCTAATGAAAAGACCACCAGTGTCAGCGAAGGCCATATAGAAGCAGGATCTACCCGACGAAGATGAAAATGACATCTAAAGTTTTATTTCTTATCTGTTTTTTTACTTCCCTCCAGTCGCATCTTTGCCTTCCTTTACCAGCTCCAGAAGGTGAGGTTTTCAATTATAGTCTCGGTTAATTTGATTTTCTACCTTGTAAAATTTTCCACTTGCTCCAACAACAAACTGATCGTTGTAATAAGATGGATGGTTAAGATTCCGAATGCTCATATTATAATCATCCATGTTTTTTTACTTTGACTCCATCTACATTGTTAAACTGTCAACTAACAGTATGGGGTTCTGTGATTACAACAGTAATTACAAAAAATGAACCTTAAGAATAATTGCTTTTTCAGTCAGCTTTGAATTTAACACGTACTATTACTTTAATTGCCTTCTCCTCCTTTGATCGCCAATTTATACGTCCTTGATATTGCTATCTCAAAAGAAAAAGGCATTGGCGGAAATTTATTTTTCTTAATTTCATCTCGGTTGTGTCGTAGCGCAAAGATAATCAATTCATGATTCTGAACAGAGTCTGTTTCAATTTTAAAAACTTGTCTGGACGAGGGCCATTTATCGCTGGAATAAATCTAAACTTTAGATTTAACCTCACGAGAGGTTCATGAAGACCGTCAAAGGAAACCACTTCTGGCTAAAGTTTTAGTTAACCAGTTTATATCTTTAAAATTTCGTCCATATATTTTTCCAGAGGGTATAGAGAATGGACACGATGTTGACGTAGTGGAGGTGCAGACCGTAGAACTCGCGATTAATGTACCCGACGAAGAATTGAATAGAGCCCAAGGTGATGAAGAAGGTAAAGTTCCCTTTTTTTCTGTCAAATTGTTATCTGTTACGAAATCATGTTTCTCCTAGAGCTATTTAGGGAGTTGGGAATGTGCCTTATCAACAGAAAAACAAATCCCAAAAGAAATTTATGTTTCGTGAATAATGCCTAATTGAGATTGTTTTCGTGACCGAAATAGAGCTAATGTATTCGTATGACTAATATGAGTCTCAGAGATAGCTTTGATTTTATTTTGCAAACTTAAATATTTCTTATAGCCGTCAATATTGATCACTTTACTTCTTTAAAGATTGAAAAAGCGTGGAGTTCTCATCATAGATAGTTCATCATCTTTGTCTGATCAAAATACCTGTTTTGACTAATTTTCACGGGAGCTTAGATGAAAAGGATCCGTTGATATAATAAATGAATCCTTTTCCGCAGCACTGCTGAAGTAGTATAAGCGGTAACGTTTAATCAGATAACTTTCTAATATCAGGTTTACCATATCCCGTAGTAAAGGCTTGTTAGTTGAACTCTGGACGGCGGTACAAAACACTTAACAAGAATGCATCCAATGTCTTCGGTCGCTTCTTACTTGCTGATGAACGTTCACCTTGAGCACAAGTCTCAGACATAGGATTTAGGGGCAATTATTTGCGACGCTGGTCATTAAATGGCTTAAGCAGTCAGAAAATGACATGTATTCGTTCTCAAGTTTGTAAAGTCACACGTAGGCTCAACAAAAAATATACCGTGAAGGAAAAACAAGTAAAACAAATTATCTCAACAAAGAATAAAAACACTGCAAAAACTTAAATTTGACAAAAAAAGAGACACTGATTCTCAGAAAATCTGCTTTCGGACTCAAATCTCACAAAACTTACATTTTAGGCTTATCTCGATTTCCTTCAGCTTGAGGCCATCAGAATTGATATAACCCTGATGTGTGGAGTTTTTTCATCATTTACGGTTATATGCTCCCCGACAAAGGTGTACCACCCTTTAAGAACTCATAATTCTTAAAAAAAACGTATCAGCCTTATTATTTTATTTTCCCACGGGACACAAATAAAGGTACACCTAGGTACATTCCTCATCACTTGCTTATAGCGGAGCTCGAAGCGCGCGCAGCGTAACACCATATCTCAACAGATTTGGTAAACTATCAAGCTGAGAAATTTGTTATAACTTCAAGACCGACTAAGATGGATCTGTCCGCCATCCCATTCGAAATTGCACTATTTTACCATACCACGTATCTGCATACATATGCTAGCCGAAAAAACGAGGTATCGCTGTTTCTACGTTTCACTTACCTCCCTCTTAGCGGCCGGACCGATACTCATTGTCTTAAAATAAGTGAGGAGAATTTGCTACCTTTCTATAATCAAGAAATGGATAGATATTCTAGTCTTCTCGGATAAGGACGAATAAAMCGTAGGCCCCGTCTCCTGCAGGGTTAGGGGTAGGAGACGTTAATTTCCCATGCACGAGATTACTGTGTTGTGGATGTCCTCCCCAGGGGTGGGATGGGCGGGAATTGGCCCTGAAAAGCCCCCATGGGGAGTGGTCAACTAACATATGTATTTAAACCCTTAAGAAATTTAAAATATGCTGTTTTAAATTTCTTAAGGTTTTTTTAAACGTTTATTTTTGAAACCGAAAGGAAGCCCTCGACATTTCAGGAACTAGTTTCGTACTGTTTCTATACTGTTAATCTAGAGCTTATAGAAGCTAAAATGGTTTCGGTATTTGTAAACACTAACACTTTGATGTATCTTACCGTCTTTTCGATTCCTTTTTGAATAAAGCGTCTAAAAAAACTCACTAATATTTTGACTTGCGATTTTTTTCTCTATATAAGATTACTGCGACAACTGCACACTCCCTTAGACACACTCTAAATTCTAACTTTTTAATGCCTAAGTTCAAAACCGATTTTGGTGACATTCCATTCATCTATCATTGACTTGCCATACGCCTATCAAGTTTTGTCGTTATGGAAAGATTGAAAAAATATAAACATACAACTCAGGACAAAATTAACATTAAGTAAATACAAAATGTCGCTTCCCCACGTGAGAATCAGTCAATAAATTCCAAAACTAGACCAATCTTTGGGATGAACAACTTCTACAATCTGGTTACAAAGACTGATTCGAAGACTTCATTTGAATCTTAAGTTTTGTCATCAAGTCTGTTTTTTTCTTAACATCTCTCGTAATCAGAACTGCTTTAGACGGAAAAAAATTCTTACATGCTAAAAAATCACTGTAAATTCCTGATGGCATTAAGACTGATACGTCGGCCTTCAAGGTTTTTAAAGAAATACTCAAACACCATATCAAATTATTTCTCTCAGAGCCAACTAGCGAAGATACAGGGGAAGAAAGTGAAGATGAAAATGAAGTGGATAGTGAGAACAGTAACAATGAAGAGACCGTCGACGACGAAGGAGAGGACTCTGACAACGAAAGTGAAGACGATGACAATGAAAGCAATGATAAGAATGGCGACGAAGGTGGAGATGATGATGGTGGTCAGGAAAGTGAAGATGATGAAGACAGTGCAGAAGATGATGACGAAGACAATGGAGATGAGGATAGTGAGAACGATGAAGATGAAAGCGAAGATGATGATGCTGACGAAAGTGTAGATGATGAAGAAGACAGCGAGGTTAATGATAGTGAGGAAGGTGGAGATGACGAAGGAGAGGAGGGTGAAGATGATGAAGATGAAAGAAGTGATGATAGTGGAGATGACGATATTAAGGATAGTGGAGAGGAAGAAGGCGAAGACAGTGGTGACGGCGAAGAAGCAGAGAGTGGTGATGAAGATGGTGAAGAAAGAGGCGACGACGAAGGGGAGGAGAGTGGTGACGACGAAGAAGAGGAAAGTGATGACGATGGTGAAGACAGTGGTGATGATGAAGAAAAGGAAAGTGGTGGTGACGATGATGAAGGGAGCGGTGACGATGAAGAAGCGGAGTCTGGTGATGACGAAGAAGAGGAGACTGGTGATGACGATGATGAAGAGAGTGGTGACGATGAAGAAGACGAGACTGGTGATGACGAGGGCGGTGACAGTGGTGACGAAGATGAAGAGGAAAGTGGTGATGACGATGATGGAGACGGTGGTGATGATGAAGAAGAGGACAGTGGTGATGACGATAATGAAGAGGGTGGTGACGACGAAGAAGAGGAGAGTGGAGATGATGATGGCGATGACAGTGGTGACGACGAGGTAGAGGAAAGTGGTGATGACGATGATGAAGAGAGTGGTGACGACGAAGAAGGGGAAAGTGGCGATGACGATAGCGAAGACAGTCGTGATGACGATGATGAAGAAAGTGAAGATGACGGTGACGAAGATAGTGGAGATGACGAGGGTGAGGATAACGGCGATGACGACGATGAGGGCAGTGGAGATGATGATGGAGGAGAGAGTGGTGATGACGAAGGTGAGAATAGTGGAGATGACGATGAAGAAGAAAGCGGAGATGACGATCGTGAGGACAGTGGCGATGACGATGGTGAAGACAGTGAAGATGATGACGCTGGTGAAAGTGGAGATGACGACGTTGACGACAGTGGAGATGACGATGGTGAAGATAATGGAGATGACGATGATGAAGACAGTGGAGAGGACGATAGCGAGGATAGGGGAGATGATGATGGAGAAGAAAGCGGAGATGACGATAGTGAGGACAGTGGAGATGACGACGCTGATGAAAGTGGAGGTGATAATGGAGAAGACCGTGGAGATGATGATGGGGAAGAAAGCGGCGATGACGATGGTGAGGATAGTGGAGATGACGATGGTGAGGATAGTGGAGATGATGATGGTGAGGATAGTGGAGACGATGATGGAGGAGAAAGCGAAGATGACGATGGTGCGGATAGCGGAGATGATGCTGGAGAAGACAATGGAGATGATGATGGTGAAGACAGTGGAGATGACGATGGTGAGGACAGTGGAGATGACGATAGTGAGGACAGTGGAGATGACGATGGTGCGGATAGCGGAGATGATGCTGGAGAAGACAATGGAGATGATGATGGTGAAGACAGTGGAGATGACGATGGTGAGGACAGTGGAGATGACGATAGTGAGGACAGTGGAGATGACGATGTTGAGGATATTGGCGATGACGATAGTGAAGACAGTGGAGATGACGATGGAGAAGACAGTGGAGATGACGATGGTGAAGACAGTGGAGATGACGATGCTGAGGATTGTGGCGATGACGATGGTGAGGACAGAGGAGATGACGATGGAGAAGACAGTGGAGATGACGATGGTGAGGACAGTGGAGATGACGATGTTGAGGATAATGGAGATGACGATGGTGAAGACAGTGGAGATGACGACGATGATGACAGTGGGGATGACGCTGGAGAAAGTGGAGTGGATGATGGTGAGGATAGTGGAGAGGAGGATGGTGATGACAGTGGTGATGGTGTTGACAATCGAGAAGTCAATGTTAACGAGACTGGAGAGGGTAATGTTGTCAAAAACAAGGGTGGTGCCAATGGTGTGGATTTCAAAAATTATGGTAATGGCATCTTTTACCGAGCCAAAAATATCAAAAGTATCAAAGAACTCGTCAAAAACATTTTAAGAAACAACAGTGGCATTCATATCAACGACACTGATACGATCCTAAAGTTGTTGAACTCTACGAAATTAGAAGGGTCAAGATCTTCCGGCGTTTCTTGGTATAGTGGTTTATTTTTCTATGAAGCCCTGCTTTTAATAGCGTCCCTTGTAATTTTATTATAAAAGTGGCTAATATTGCCTAATATTTATCTCGTGTCTAAGAGCGAGGGGACGAGGAGAACATTGCGATCTGCTTGTAGCTAAGACAGAAATTCTTGCGCTAGAATTCGCCAAAGGTGTATCAAAAACTCTACAAGAAAACCGTTTGTAACCCTGTGCGATTTGTATGCAAATTAATCTTATGGACAACTTTTCGCAAAACGACAAAAATCACCCTGGGGATTTGCTTTTTTGTATAGAGATGTACATAGGAAATTATTTTTATGTTTGTAATAAATAGTTTTGAGCGACATAATGAGGTCTTATTTAACGTTACTCTATTTTTTTTTCCTGGTAATATCTGTCAGTCACGCAACTTACCAACCAGGCAAGCCGGGTTTTTGACCTATAGCAGACAGGGTATCTTTTTTTGGTCCAATTTTAACACCAAATTCCGCGTGAAAAAGGCGTAAAAGAAAACTTTTGGCCCCAGTGTATAAATCACCGGGCTCGAGGAACAATGGACTTCTAAGAACATCTGATTGCTGGTTGCCCCTTTAACAAGAAGTCTCTCATTCGCAAAATGTAGAGTTATTTAGCCCTGCTCCTTCGTGTGAATCAGCTTGAAGAGCTCTACATGACATTGAAAAAAGTGCGACGATTACCTACCTCACGAATTGGGCTGTTTAAAACAACGATTGCTTAAATCTTGATTTGTCCGGTTTTTAAGGAGTGTCTATATATTGTCTAGAGAGTGTATTCTGCCGAGCGTCACTCTGAAATATACTGCAATGGCCATAGTAAAACCCCAAACAGCTTTTTGATGTCTTTAACACTTATAGAGATTTCGGTTCTCGTGAAAACGGATTTTTTCTTAATTTCGGAAGTGTTTTAAAAAGTCTGGAAAGCTACCCAGTAGATGAACCTACACTGCTGGGATTCTTTAGGAACGTAATGACGTCGCTCAGTTCGAAGTTTCGACATTTCTCCTGGGCATTTGGATTTTCGAAGATTGGTTTGTTCAAATTCCCGCCCCTAGGGGCTAAAATTACGTTCAACCAATTTTTTTTGTAAAAAGCAGAATCAGCGAGCAGGACTCTCTACACATTGACCAAGCTTTGAAACCTAGACCTTGTAGACCTTTTCTAGTGAGCTAGTTGCTGGCAAAAGTGACCTGTTAACCTTACAACATCTCAATATTTAATGATATAACTTAATTATGCTGGAAAGACTCGACTCTTCCAGTTCAAGTTCCCCACCCATGTACCCAGCCAGGCAAAGTTGAAATCCCCCGCCCCGCGGCACAAACGAAGGTCATATGCCTGTGTGTTACCAGGGGTGGGGGTGGGAAATGTTGAAGCTTCGAACTGATCGGCGCATAGCACTAAATATTTTCAGATTGACGGTGTATCTGGCTTTTTTTTCAGATATTTGTTTGAACGCACCTTTCATTTTAATTAAAGAAAAACGTCCATAAACCTTTTGTTGAAAATCTTGTTTCTGAGCGTTCTAACGCTCCACTTTACCCTTGATCTCGGTACAGAGGCGACCCAATTAGAAAACAATTTTCTTGATCAGACTCCAGAAACTAATCATTTAACATGTGCTCTCACTTTACACTTTTCTTTCTTTATTCAGTTCTCTTCACCTGCCATGATTGAGCGAGGCCTCTTCTCAGCTATTCTCGATGGTTGTTCATTCACTTAAAATGGCAGCTTTGCTCATCACAAAGGCTCTTTCCGCACCTCTTCATAAGTTGAATGCGACTTGGCTTTTAGTGCATTTTTGTTCATGACAAATCGCCACTCATTGTTTTGTCAAGCCTTAAAAGCCATACACCACTTTCCCCAAAAATTTATAGCGCGATAGATCCACTTGAAATGTTGGAAAGGGTGTAAATCACACACTCTTTGGTGAAACAGACGCTTGCAATTCTGTGGTGAAAATGCAGAAAATGTGATCTATAACCTACATCAATTACACAGCATTTAGCAAAGTTTGATCACTTCTTGATCCATTTTCTAGAAATCTAGCATCATATTTCTTTAAGTAAAAGGATTAGCTTTTCAATTGTCAGTTAATTTCATTAGTTCATGATTCTTCTGTCGGAAAAAAAATTGCCGAAGAAAGCCTAATAACGTTCCATCCATTTTTTCGCAATATTTGCTACTCTTGCCCCAAATTTGACCACTAATAGTTTCCTGAACGCAAGTTTCAACTGTCAATTGTGGTTGGGAATGAGGATAGCCACAATTTGCGATTGACTCTACTGATTGTCTAACTGTCGATGGTCAAGGCACGTGTTTGGGCACGTGAGTAAGTGTTTAAAGTGAGCATTGTTGGTATGAATAGATTAGAGACAGCAATCCTGGTATAGACAAAAGAGAACAAAGGTATTGTTTCCTTGACTCTCAACATTTAACTCTATGTAAACTAGCTCCTAAAAATAAATAGTCCACATTGCGTTTTTTACGAAAGTAGTTGTAAGCTGTTGAGTACTGCTTCGAAAGCAAGGTCCTCAGCAGGAATGCTCATACGTCAATTTTAAACAGGGAAAGTAAAGGTGTTTTTTCCTTTTCATAGCGTGCAGAGCAAAGGAAAACAGTTCGAAAACTGAAGTGGGACCAAATTAAATTTCGTATGGTTACCACAATTAATCTCAAATTATAGCAAAATTGTTAGTTTCTCCTGGGGTAACGGCGTAATATTTTGCATCATGAGTTCTTGTATTTTGATATTGACTGATTTATCACCTGAGCAGCTCAGAAAATTACAAAGATCTTATATAAATGAAACTGGAGACATGATAAAAATCAATTTTGAAGATACAGCTCTCCATGTTAACAGTAGCCAACTCAAGTCAAATTGTTTTATTTAATTGTGTGAATTGGAAAGTAACCTAGATTTGCACAGTTTTTCATTTAAGACAAGGCAAAAAAAAAAAAAATGAACTTAGGTGCCTCTGTTTGATATTGTTTATTTTTCCAGAACCCAACCGCCAATATTTTGATTGTTGATAATATTCAGCAATCCCCGAGAGAGTGCTTACATCAGTCAATTCAAGTCGAAGATTCCGATGCAATTCTTATTTTACCAATAAACTGATATCGAAAGCCACAAAAATTTCAAACGGTACTTTAATGCTTGCTTCCAGTGTCTCATAAATGTTACCAGTTTTATCAAAGGGCTCCATTTTCCGAATAGAAGCTAAACGACGCCATCAAACATTTACAGATGACTTCTAAACTGATAATCTGTCTTTGCCTTGCGACCCTTCTAACTCCTATTTGGGGTTTACCTTTGCTGCAGTCAGATGGTAAGATTTTACTCTTTACAATCTACTTGATCAAATAATTTTTCAAAGCGTTTGCTGTCAAATTCATTGCGTGCACCGTGATGGCTGCAGTTCTTACAAACTAGATATATTATCGAAAGTGAATATTTTCTGAAAGTTTACAGTAGGATTTTGAATGTTCTCACGTTCGAATTTCTTAGATGACCTTAGTTGTTTTTAAGCAGATGCACTGTTACTACGCAGGATTCAGTTAATCATGAGTTTCATATTCTAGATTATGGTAACAATTTCTGTGTTCCTAATTATCCTGTTGCATATTGCGTAACCAATAAAAACGAGCCAGCTTGCATTGTTGTTATCACTCGATTTTACCGACACTGCAATACTTGCTTTGGCAAAATGAGTGTTAACACGGCGTTTGATAATTCTCAATCACTTATGAAGTACACATAAAAAGGAAAATCTATGACAAGAATAGCGGGTATGAGAAACTCAATCGAGGGTAAAATTTTGAAATTGCATGTACCGCCGGATTCTCTAAGGTTCCTACTCGGGTCAAGCTCAGTTATATTTAAATGATATTTATTCCCTACAATTTAACCGAAAGAACGGTGTACTTTTAAGTAGATTTCCACGCTGCAAAATATAACAGTGGTATAACGGGGGAATAAACTTGTTCGGAATAAAAAAAAAAGCTGTGTCTGATATGTTCAAAGACCACCGAAAATTTGTAGTTTGCTGAGTATGATTTCTCGTTAACATCTACTTATCGCTGTTCAACAGAACTTTGAATTTCTTTGAAGTCTGCATTAACCATATCAGCTAAAGAGATACTTTCAAAGTTTCAGTTTGAACGTCTTACTCGCTCTCTTTTTTCCACCAACAAAACAAAAAGTTCAGTTTTGGCTATCTGTAGATTATCAAGTCTTATTTCGAACCAGCTCATTTTTCATAGATTTGGTGGCCAATGTTGTCTTTCATTTTATGCTGAAGAAAAATATTTTGATGGGGATTTGTATTGATCATGTTCCTCTCACATTTCTGACACTTTTGAGTCGTGTACCATGCCTTTGTGAACATAGGTTCGAGAACATTTCAGCCCTACACCTGGGTTAGTCCCTCCTTTGAATCATCATTGTAAGTCTGTTCGAGCATGCTTGTTGGAAATATTCCCCTTCTCATTCCTCTGAAGGCTTGTAAATAGTACTGTTTAACCTACGAAAGCTACTATATCATACGTCCGCGGAAATAGAGAGGAAACAATCAAGGGGAAATTAAGAGAGTCGGTTAGTAAGTTTGGTAACTTGAGGAAAAAACACTAGAGACTTTTTCGAGAAGTCGTTACGCAGTAGTTTCCTCATGTAGCTCCTTCGTGTCGTCTGCCAAGTGAATTTTCGAGTGACCAATACGAACCCTAACAAAATATTGGCTATGCTTAAAAGTGTTGAGAACGCCTTTTTACCTTCATTAAATAATCACAAACTTGTACCTAAAGACGACTTGAGAAATGAAGAGGCTGCACATATATTATTTTTTCTAGCTTTGATACTGACGAATGTTGGTAATCTCCCTGTCACCCAGGCTAAGTTTTCATTTTCATGTGCATTAAGCCCCGTCTACACGAGCAATTTTTATGTGGCAACTGTATGTGGCAATTTTTATTTGCCCGTGTGGATGGCTCGACAAATATTTGTTGTTAATTTGCGTCAGTAATAATTTTGCACAGCAGAGATGCTCATGGAAAGGAAGAAAACAAAATGGCGAAAGTCAGAAGACGTGCCAGACGTGTTGCAGCTTTAGGCGCGTTTGTCACATTTTGTGTGGCGTCTCATCTACACGGCCAATTTTTTTATGTGGCAATTTTTATTTGCCATATAAAAACTAACACGCCAGCTTTTCATCAAATGTAGTTGTCACATAAATATTGTTCATTTTTCATCATCTACACAGGCAAATAAAAATTGCCACATAAAAATTGCCATATAAAAGTTGCTCGTGTAGACGGGGCTTTAAGGTAGTTAGAAACCCAGTAAACCAAAAATAACTGATTACAGTTATTTTTGGTTTACACTTGCCCTGCGAGACCTGAAATGTAATTGTGTACTGACTATCTAAAACTCGCTGCATTTTAATACAGATTATTTCACCACTGTACCCATGAAGGAGGGCCTCATATATTTTACACTTCAAGTTGTGTTCTCTGGGGCAAGTCCACGCGAGAACTTCTAAGATCTCGCGTGGGCTCATCTCCTTCGCAATAAACAGAGGCGCAACAGCAGCAACAAAAGCAATTTATATCTATGCATTTCAATTCACTAAACAGAAGGAAAAATTTAGAATAAATGGAAATAAACTAAAAGTAACAAACTCATCCAAATTTAAATGCAGAGGAAATTCGACATACATCTACTTAAACATACAACCACGATGATAAAAAGATGGAGGGGGCTTTGACTTAAATCATTAGCTGGAGAAGACTGATTCTCTCCCAAGGTTTTTGATACAAGTGCATCTCCTTGATTTAGGATCATCGTTAGAGTTGTGGACAGTAGTTTGTCTTGACCTTATTTGTAGAGTAAAATAATATGAATTAGCCCTTCTTCTTATAGAAATACCTCGCTAGTGCTTATGAAAATCGTTATCAATAGTAAAGGGAGATTTGTAGAGTAATAATTCACACTTAGAGAAAGCACTCTGCCAGCATATCATATCAGATAACCCAGCTTACCTTTCTTATTGCCTATTCAAAGATGTAGAGAGTAGGCAGTTCAATGTGATGCAATTGGTGATTATCCAAAATTAGAGTAGCAAAACCTATTTAAAAGCCACTGAGCATAAATTTCGAGAATTCGCAAACAGTGGCAAAATTTCGTTATTAATTTTTTCCAAAAGAAACCCTTGTGAGGAACCTTTTTAAAATCGAAAAATTCAAAATACATTTAGATGGCCGTTGTCTCCCCGAAAAGCAATGAAGAAGTATGCAACCTCGGCAACTTCGCGCGCCACAGGGCGATGCAATTCCGCTTTTAAATTTCGTATGTTAGCAGGTGGTCCTTTTCTCTCTTTGAAGTATTCATTCTCTTGTAATGTTGTTACGTTTGAAATTATGTACTTGGATTCTTTTTCGCAGAGGAGAAATAGAGGTCAACTCCAATGGCCTATGAAGGGGTCTATCATACATATGTACAAATCATAATATAAATCATCTAAACTTTTTATCCTCGTCATTTCATTCCTCAAATTCCCTTAGGCATGAAGGCATGAAAACTCAGAGTTGCAGTAAAAGTTCAAGTAGCCTAGATCTTGAAGTATAGTTATCCACAGCTCTAGCCCTGCTCTCGACTAGAAACAGGCTATCAACTAGTAACCGGGACGTGGGTTCAAATCCCGCTCAGGGCAAATGTTCTCTTCAAACATTATATATATATATATATATATATATATATATATATAACTGCACTATGCTTCAAGATCTAGGCTACATGAACTTTTACTGCAACTCTGAGTTTCATGCCTCTTGCGAAGCAATCGTCAGGCAACTGCCAGAAATAACGGTTACCCGTTATAGAAGTATAGTTATCCACAGCTCTAGCCCTGCTATCGAGCACTTTTTAGTAGATGATGATCTCATTCCGCTATTTTGGTTATTTTTCCGCTCTCTTTCATTCATCTGTTTCGACGTTTGTGAATTCTACCCCTCCATCACTGAGAAGTTGCTTTCCAAAGCACTAGATTTTGCCTCTAAGTACTGCTCAATCAACAGCCATGAGCGTGAAATTATCTTGCATGCAAAACGATCTCTGCTATTTAACGATGATTGCCCATGGGAGAAAAAATCTGCCAGCAACCTCTTTGATGTTACCATGGGGTCCTTCGATGGAGCGGAAACGTGTGAGCTGGTTGGATGCTTTCTCTTATCGATTCTTACCGAGAAGTATGGTCAAAATATTGGTTTATACCGGGATGATGGTTTGGCTGCCCTCAATGGAACACCGCTTGGGCCCCACAGTCTGTAATTAAGAACCTTCTATTAATTGAAAGGACTCAAAGACGAGCTACTAAATTCATTTGCAAAAACAAGAACATGAGTTATCAACATCGTCTAATTCATCTTAATTTACTGCCCATTAATTATTGGCTTGAATATTTAGACCTGCTTTTCTTTCTTAAATGTAAACTAGGGATCGTTAGACTTAACATAGAAAACTATGTTAAATTTTGTAATGGCAAATCACATCGTGGTGCATCGGGAATCTACCCAGCAACACCTTACTTTCGAACTTCACTTTTTAGGGATTCATTTTTTGTAAGACTTTCTAATATTTGGAATGCTGTTCCCGATCATATCAAAGCTGAAACTTCGTTGTCTTGTTTTAAAGCTAAGCTCAAATCTTTCTATTCTCTTAGGTTAAATCAAATATTTGATGGGGATAATGTTCGTACCTTTAAGTTGATTTGTCCTAAATGTCGTAAAGTTAATTCCTTTACAGTTTGTTCTTGTTAATTCCGCAGTCAGTTGTAAAATATGTACTATATGTTTGTTCGTTTTCTTAATGCGTTGGGTTGGGTTTTTAAATCTAATTTAGGGGTTGAGATTAAGGGTGTAAATATCTTGGAGGGGACTTAGAGTCCTATTGTATTTACATCCACCTTCGGGTGAATCATTAAATAAAAATAAAAATAAAAAAGATCAACTGGCGCATCATGAAAAGAGCAAGCGCATACAAAGGCAAACTATCTCGCTGTAACCTATGTTTGGCTGAAAAACTTTGCATGCATTTTGACCGCTCAAAATGCCTCTCTCTTAGAGAAGAAATCTGAGCTTGTAACAAAATGCCGCAACGAAAACAAGTTTTTCACAGTATCCAATCAGAAGAAGCGCGTGCGTGACGACTTTTAACCGTTCTTGAATTTTAAACATTCATAACCGTTTACTTCTCGTAGACAACTCTCAGTCTGATGATCGCCTAGAGCGTGAAACTCGAGTAACTAGTAATAATTTCCTTCTTTCACATTTGTATTTTGCTCTGCACATCTCTGCATCGAGCACTCCACGGATAAGTGAAACAACTTTATTTCTTGTTTATTCGTTTATTCATTTATTTATATTCACCTTATTTGTATTCAAATGCAACCCATAATTCTTTATTTGCCTTTGATTGTTTTTTAAACCTTCTTAGTTTGTAGTTTGGACCTTTGTTGTATTACGTAACCTCAATCTTAATATTTCTGTTTTGTATATAAGTCGGTGTTCCGGTAACTCGCAACCATTGTAAATAGCTTTTTAGTTTTTAATTTTTAACCTGAAGAAGGCCGAACGGCCGAAACGTCGTGCATTAAAGTCGTCCAGAACGGTCAAGAGTTGGTCTCTTCGTTACGTCCTTATCGTGCACTTAACTGTATATATATATATATATAAAGTGTGACTTGATTTTCGTAGAACAGTGCTCAATACATAGAAGTAGAGCAAAGTATATATTGTGGT